TGGGACTTGTAGTCTCGAGTCCTCCGCGGGCTCTGGGAGGCCGGGTGTGGGCGGGCTCTCGGGTGGGGAGATGGGCTGGTCTGCCGCGAGCTGAGTACGCTCGGCGGGTTTCTCTGTGTGGCCTGATCGCTGCGGGGCTGGGCCGCCCGGCGGTTAGTGTCGGGCACCGAGTGGGGGGGCCGCCTGCGAGGCCGCAGAGCTGCTTGGGGGCCCTGGCTGCCTTTTTATTTTTGGCACTGGGAATTGAACCCAGAGCCATCCCCTGACGTCTTTATTTTGTATTTTGAGACAGAATTTCCCTAAATTATTAAATTGCCCAGGCGGGGCTCGAGCTTGTGATCCTCCTGCCTCATCCTCCTAGGGTGCTGGGACGACTGTGTTCGTCAGCCGTGGCAGACAGCTCTCCAGTTCCCACATGGTCCTGCTGCTGCGCCCCTGATGGACCGTCAGAGGTGGGACTAGGTGGCCAGAGTCACGCAGCAGGCCCTGTCACCTGCTTGCCTCCGTGGCCTGGGCTGAGCTGAGGCCCCCACTGGAGGTTCCTGCATGCTGGACCCCTGCAGTCGGCTCTTGGCCCACCCAAGCTGGGACAAGGTGGCTGGATACTGCCGCCACCCTCCCTGCTCCCTGCAGAGGCAGACTGGCTTCCAGCGCGTCCTGCAGGCCCCGGCACTGCCGGCATCTGCCGCCCATAGCTGCAGGCAGGGAGCCAGCGCTGTGTGCGGCTCAGGTGATGGGGTTTTCCCACAGCCCGGGTCAGCAGCTGGCACCTGCCCAGCACTCCAGGCACACGCACCCAGCAACAGCTTTGCGACACTTGTGGGCAGACCTCCCTGTGTCCTCGCGTGCCCTGCTCCGATTCCTGCGGTCTCATTCGACCTTTACAAACAGCAGCTTCAGCCCAGCACCGTGGCCCACACCTGTCGCTCCATACTTGGGAGGCTGAGACAGGAGGGTTGTCGGCCGTTCTCAAGGCCATCTGGACTACATGGCAAGACCGTGTCTCAAAATAACAGAAACAAACAAGGCGCAGCTCCTCACTTGTGCTGACCTCTTGCTGCTGAAAGAGGGGGGACCCAGAAGAGCCCCGCACCTCTGCAGGGGTCGAGTCCCTCCCCAGACAGCACAATCTCCCTGAGGAGCGAGCTGTGTCCTAGTGTCGGTGCCCTGGGCCAGCTCTGGGGAGCAGCAGTGCGGGGTCCTTGAGCAGGGCTCAGTGACAGGAGGCTCAGTGATGCCCAGGTGACATGGTGCGTGCCTGGGAGGACACCAACACGATCAGGGAAAACAGGCTGTCCCTGTGTCGCTGTTTGCCACAGTAGCGAGGCCTGTAACTGTAGAGGGGCACTTGCTGTTTAATCCAGCAATGGCATTTTTTTTCTTCTTTTTTTGAGTCGGGCCCCCTCTCTGTAGTCCAGGCTGGCCTTGAACTCACGGTGTAGCCCAGGCTGGCCTCCAGTTCCCTGCAATCCTCCTGCCTCAGCCTCCCTGGTGCTGGGATGGCCAATGTGCAACACCACATCCGGTGGAAGCTGCACCTTGTAAAGCAGTTTGTCCTTCAGGGTGCGACACAGGTGCCCAAGGCTGAGTCTGTGTGCTTTGGACACTGCTGTGAAGAGGGCCTGGTGCAAAGTACGCACACAATAAACACCCAGCTCGCTGCCAGTTCAGTCCCCTGACAGATGTCCCACCTTGGCTGCACTGGGGCGGGGCATCAGGAAGTAAATGTTGGAGGGGTAAGGGTGGAGAGGTGCTGGCCGGAGGCCCAGGAGCCCACCCCCAACCCAGAGCGACTCGTTATCCACCAGCCCCTCCGAGCGTCCTCTGCCCCCAGCTTCTTGCCATCCTACTGTCAGTTCTGTTGTGCCTCCTCGGGACTGGGCTGGAGGTCAGTTTCACTGTGTGGCAGACAAAGGGCAGGCCAGGCCAGGCGCGCTGGTGCGTGCCACTCAGGAGGCTGAGGCAGGGGGATCACCATGAGTTTGAGGCCAGCCTGGACTATAAAGCAAGACTCTGTCTCAAAAAAAAACAAAAGGATCAGCCAGCCAGGCGCAGTGGCACACACCTGTGATCCCAGCGTGTGCTGATGCCTGCCTCGCAAGCACAAGGTCCTGAGTTCGGTCCCTGATATTAAAAAAAAAAAAAAAAAAAGTTACAGTAATCCTCCTGCCTCAGCCTCCCAGGTGCTGGGATGACAGGTGAGAGTCACCACACCAAGCTCAGCCACCTCTGTCCCTAGACAGCTGGAGACAGACAGGGCTCCCAGGAGATTAGCCTCACATCACACCCCCAGGACCCTTCAGGATGCCCTGGGCTGCAGCCTCCCTTCTGGGGATGCGGGATTAGGGCTTAGTATGCAGCCTGCCTTCTGCCCTCCACGCATGTGGACGCCCTCGGCCAGTCCACACGACCCACTCAGCCTTTCTGTGCACAGCTTTCTTATTTCTGCTTATTATTGATCTATTATTTCTGCTCCTTATCTCTCCAGCCAGGTTCCAGGTTTGGAAACTCCCTCCGAGCCAGGCGGGATCAGCGGCAACCATGCCCGCCTGACCAACGTGTCCACACCTGACACCAATCTGAAGGTGTCTGAGCCGGGGACATGTGGGGCCATCAGTCGCAGGAACACCCAACCCGCCAGGCCAGGCATGGGGGCCGCACCTGTCATCCCAGTTTGGGAGACTGGAGCACAAGGATCGCCGCAGTTCCAGGCCGCTGGGCTACACAGTGTAACCCTGTTTCAAAAAACAACAAATAAAACCCCAGAAGTAGATGAGAAAACAGCCAGGCAGAGTGAGCAGGGCTGTCACCCAACCCTGTGCCCTTGCCTTTGCCAAGGTGCCCGAGGCCTTGGCCTTTTTAAAAAAAACGGCCCCGCTCACCTGGGGCCTGGTGCTATGCCCCAGGGCCCTGTGTGTCACCAGCTGAGTGTTTTACAGTGAGACCAGAACGGGGCTCCTGTCAGCACTTACACCCGCGGGGAGCAGAGTCACTGTGAAGGGCGGCACTGCGCTTTTTAACCCGACTTTATTGAGATGCAATTAGCGTCCCATAAACTGCACGCACGCGGTGCTGAGCACATGTGCGACCGTTACCGCCGTCAGGAGACCCGGCCTCGCTCTCACAGGTGTCCTAGCCCTCTCGGCCCTGGCCTAGTCCCCAGGCAGCCATCACGGTATTTTACATTCAGGCTGTTTAAATTAGCCTGCCTTTTTTTTTTGAGACAGGGTCTCACTATGTAGTTGAGACTGACCTGGAACTCACTATGCAGCCCAGGCTGGTCTCGAACTCACAGCGATCCTCCTGCCTCAGCCTCCCGAGTGCTGGAATTACAAGTATGGGCCGCCACTCCGGCTAGTCTACTTTTTCTTCTTTCTTCTTCCTCTTCCTCTTCTTCTTCAGTGCTGGGGATTGAACCCAGGGTTTTCACACAGAGCTGCACCCCCAGCCCTTTTTAAATTTTTTTATTTTGAGACAGGGTCTCACTAAGTTGCTCAGGCTGGCCTACAACTGGTGATCCTCCTGCCTGAGCCTCCCAGAGTGTTGGAATTACAGGGGTGCCCCACTCCACTTTTCTAAAGGCTCTTTACATTCAGCATTGTTACTTTGCCTGTTTTCTTATAGGTCATCTCAACTCTGACCCATTGGAACCACACACTGGTGACAGTGACAAATTAATACATATTTAGAATTTTCAGTAGTGGATGGTGGTGCACGCCTGTAATCCCAGCACTCTGGGAGGCTGAGGCAGGAGGATGCAAGTTCAAGCCGAGAAAGGACTGGGACTGCAGCTCAGTGCAAAGGCTCTCTCTTGATTGTCTCCAGAACCAACAACAACAAAAAAGAATAAAGAAGAATTTTCTTTGTAGCTATAAATGGAAATCTTGGTTTCATGCTCAATGGTTTTGTTTTGTTTGGGGAATTGAACTGGGGACCTTGCACTTTCAAGGCAGGCGGCAGAACCACTGAGCTCAATTCCCAGCCCACTTAATGGCTTTTACAAGAGACAGTTTTGCTGAACTACTTATAGGTGAACAGCACCATGAGTTTCATACACAGAAGAGATACAAATCTCATTGTCTTTATTTTTCAAACAGGGCCTCACTATGTAATCCAGCCTGGCCTCAAACTCTCAGCAACCCTCCCTGCTCAGCCTCCCAAGTGCTTGCATTACACGTGGCAGCTCTCAGATTTCTCTTGTTAACACACCGTCATGACGAGGGTCAGTACACCACAGCGAACCCTAACCCCTTCTGTTTCTTCTTTCCCCTCCTCTTCCTCCATCCCTAGATCCCTTTCCCATCTCCAAAAGGCCGACTTCCAGGTTCTTATCCTTCCACTTTTCACAGAAGAGTAGCTACGTCACAAGTGACTTCTGTGTCTGACTCACTCACTTGGCGATGTCGTCCCAGGGCCCGCATTTTCCTCGGGACAGCTACCAGGGCTGTGGCGCCAGAGGCCCTGGCCTGCCGTGGAGGTGAGGAGGCCCTGTCAAAGAGCCGCGTTAAACCGGCCACTCGCTGGTGTTCACTGACTGCGGAATCTGAAGCCGTTTCCTACTGCAAGCTCCGACTGGAGGTTTCAGCGATAACTCCCACCCAGTCCCAGGGGTCCTAACAGGCCGGGTGCGGCCTCAAAACCCCAATCAAGGAGGCAGCATCCCGAGAGCAGCTTTTATCAGCCTGGCCACTCTGAGAGGGACAGAGATTCAAGACTTCAAGACTGGTCTTTGCGGGGCTGGCGCAAACTTTGTTTTTTGTTTTTCCAGTACCAGGGATCAAACTCAAGACCTTGCACTTGCCAAGCAGGCGGAGCCACTGAGTTAAATCCCCAGCTCAAGCCTTTATTTTTTGTTTTTTGATTGTGAGGCAGTGTTGTCTGCTATGTAGCCCAGGCTGCCCTCCAACTCACAGCGACCCTCCTGCCTCGGCCTGAACAATGTACCACCACACAGGGCAGCTTTAGGGTTTTATAGAAAAGGGGAGCAAAGGCACTGGCTACAAGGTGCAGACCTGGCAGGGAAATAATCCTGTCTAGCTTGGTCTACTTGATCGGTACAGCAGGACTGGTTCTGCGAGGTTCCGGCACAGCCAGCTTCATTTGTGCACCATATGGCTACAATCTCAGCATTCAGGAGGCTGAGGCAGGACTGTTGCAGATTAGAGGCCTTATCTCTGGGGGTGGGGGGAGGAATCTGACCCAAAGTTTAAGGCAATAAAGGAGACAAATACAAAAGTGAAAACTGAGGGCCAGGGATTCAGCTCAGTGGTTCTGCTGCCTGTCTCAAAAGTGCAAAGTTGTGAGTTCAATCCCCAGTTTCAAACAACAAACAGAAAAAAAAGGTGAAAACTGAGCCAGGTTTGGTGGCAGACACTGGTAAGCCCAGCACACTGGGAGGCTGAGGCAGGAGGATTGTAGGCTGAAGCTCAGACTGGGCTATAGAGATTATTTTTCAAAATGTAAACAGGGTGAGGGTGGAGGATTTAGCTCAGTGGTTCCATCACCTGCCTCCCAAACGCAAGGACCCGAGTTCGAGCCCCAGTACCAAAAATAAGTAAATAAATAAATAAATAAAAACAAAATGTTAAAAGGGGTGGAGGGTGTAGCTCAGTGCAAAGGCCCTGTGTTCAATACCGAGGACAGAAAATAGCTGAGATGATGCTAAGGTTCACCGCAGTTACCCACTTCGCATCTGCAAGCCCAGCCTCTAAGTGCCCCGTCCTTCCTTGGAACTCGGCCTCCACCCCTCTGGTTCTCGGGGCTGCCTCGCTCCGGATGCGGCCGAAGTGGCCGAGCCAGGCGGCCAGCGCC